ACTTTTTGTGCCTACCGCATTCTCATACTTTGAATAGCATTTAAAAAATCAATTACATTCAAAAGCTAATTTTGGTCACCTATATATATTTGCAGTTGATAATTCTGAACGGATAGTACGATTATAGTGTTTAGAGCCAAGAAACTGTGTACATATTTTTGTGGAACACCCTGTATATATTTATAGACGAGCGACGGAGACCTAGCTTTGGCAGGTTGTTGCAACGGGCATAGGTTCATCCGCCGTTCGTCGTCGCGGAAAAAGCTTGTTCTTTTTAGGACAAAATAATAAACGTTCGTTGACCGAAAACGAGCTATTATACAACCTTTTCGTACTGGGCTAATCCCAGCAAGATTGAAAACTTTTTCCCTGAGTTCAACAGTCTACTTTACTTATCTTCTATGAGGCGAACGGAAGATTCTCGATACGTTATGGGTTCAAATAGCTAACAAATTAATCGAAACAGCTGTTTTTGAGACATTTGAATTTTTGGTGGGAAAATTTCAAGGTTTCAAAGAAAAAGATGTCAGCTGTCAGCCGGGTCATCCAGATCAGCTCCGAAATTTTTTTTCCGACCTTTTTCGCACTTTTAGGACCTTGCATTTCTGGAACTTTTGGCCTGCGACCAGCCCAAACCTTGATGCTGCCATTATCTGAATATAGTATATTTAAGTGGCATTGTAACAAGTTTAAACCTACCAACATAGCTGGACGCACGGTTATTATTAGAAAGTAATTTGCGAATTACAGAAGGGGTATTCTAAAATGAGTGGTAAATGGTTTGGGTCCCGAATTGAAATTGTCAGTGTGGTGAATTCAATAGAAACCGTAACAAATTACACTTCCAGTAACAGATTTCGTTCGAATACACTCTCAAAAATAAGGCATGATCTAATAAGGCAAAAATAAGGCGTGTCCTGTATATATAAGGTAGAAGTTGTTTATTGCACAATTATACACATTGGAAAAGTTGGGCTTCAAATGCAGCAAAACACGAATGAAAATTCGTTATACGTATCATGCATTATTAGTCCGGCAAACACTTACATAGAGCTAATAACGAGACCGGTTTCTGTCTCAGCAAGTTCATATGACTTCATGAGGGTGCGGTAATGGACGGCTGAGGCAATAAAGGGTACCTTTTCCCTTTTTATTTATAGGCTAAAGGTACAAGCGACGCCGCTTGTGGCTTTCAGGGAGCTGACGCACAGTATCGATTACTAGTCTATATCTATTTTCGTAATTGTACCATCTATTTTAGGATGAAACGAATACTCTTTAGCACAAGCGCACGCTCATTGTTCATGGTAAGAGCACTATGTGATATGTTTTTTCTTCACCAACTGAACCTCTGTAAGCCCAGGGACTATGGTCTATTTGTCAAAAGCAACCAAACCGATCTGACAAAGGTTGCGAACCCACTTTATACGAAAAACTAATCAAAATAACAAGAAAGCGTACGTACAACAGCTAATAAAAAGTGCAAATCGGCTTTCGATTTGAGATGCAAAAGAGGACTTCGTACGGGTCCCAACTTGCAATTGTCAGAACCCAGTTAAAACGCAGCCACTCTTCATTTCGTTTCATTCGGCTTTAACACTATGAGACCTCACGAGCTACCGTCGCCGCAGCACCGTTCTGTGCGGATTCTTCCAAGAGCTAAATTAGTCAGAAGCCCTCTACATAAGGTCGCTTCCAGACGTCATGCATGATCATGACAAGTACAATGCGTGTATATAACTTAATCAACTTTTTTCAGTAAACACATTACGTGGACCTAAATTATTTCTATGTAAAATAACTGCCGGTTGCGTCAACAAAGCATGTGTCAGATTCGATTCATGATGGGGTGCGGACACTTAGGCTGTCTCAGAGTCAATGGCCAGTCATCTCACAGCCCGTTACGGAATAAACGACGCTACTACTAAAAACACGAATATAAACTGCGAGACTTCGCCAAGAACGATGAGCTTGTTGTTGCCGGCTCAGATGGTGACCTGGTCGGTCGCTCTAAACCCTTCATTCTCAGTGGCTAGCGTTCGATTTCAAAAGCAGACAAACGATATGCATAGTACAAATCAACGAGAGAGAACGGGCTTTGCTGGAGCTTCCCGCTGTGTCGCCTAGATTACCCTTCTTGTACGATTCACTCGTAAGGGCCTTCACTAGTGCACGCCTAAAATGCATTCACGAGTCGAATACTTGCCCACGTTACAATCGAGTAAGCGTCGAGTCCGACAGACCTATACACTTAGACAACGCATCGAAAACGTGCCTATTATCTCTAATAATTTGTAATATAAAAAAAACAAGGGTCATCGTTATAATAGTAGTAACGATAATACAACAACAAGAGTAATAGGGGCCCGATTATACTGCAGCCTGTAGACGACACCAACTACGCGTAACGGAACTTCAAAGCATGCCAACGCAAACACATCGGTCAAAGAACTTCCGTAAAATTTCGTTTCGTCATAACATACATAGCGTGTTAATCAGCATCGAGTATCTTTATAATGATTCTAGGACACACACAAGGTTTCGTAGTAACGCCTACTTCTCTATTGTTCGATAAATTTTTGTAGGCCCAAAGCAAATGCTAAGCGAAATCAACAGCTTGAGCCATTAGATGGAAGAAGCCTACTTTTCCTCTAGTCTCTTTCCCTCTTCTTCTGCTTGACTGACGAAAGAACGATTGGCGTTGACTGCCAGTTTTACAAAGTCATCACCGATACGATCATATCCGGCATTTCACAGTACTCTGACGACCAGCTCCGTTAATGTCAAAGTTGTCGGAGACAGTCCCATTTGTGTACATAGTTCCATTGAACAGCTCAGGTGTTTACAGACGTTTGCGGCACTCAACAAGAGCAAAGCAAAGGGATGATGTCGTAGCAAAGTTAAGTGAAGCGTCGTCGTCAGTCGCGATTCTTCGACGAAGGAAGACTCGCGCGTCTCACAAACAGCAAACATAATTATGAGCAGCGAGATAGCAGAGCGTGTGTGTTAGGCCGACCCTATTCCCGGCACAGCTGTTCGTAAAGGGACGATTTATTATCACAAGATAATAACAATAATGACAGCGCGCCACTTCACCAAAACGAAATCCTAGGGGGTTTTTTTGTCAGCACAACACAATAATACTAGAAATAATAATAATAATAATAGGAGACACAATATACAGTATTTATTTGATTATGTTCTAGCTTGGCTACGAGCGATGGCTGTTTTTACACTTAACAACAAAAAAAATCTGCTCGGTTCCAATCTAATTTCAGTAGCAATAGTTACTATATATTTCCCTTCGCTATTCACGACCTTCCCTATAAACGGAACTGATTATTCCTCCTCACGGGCAATTAATTTTCAGGTCTAGTGTTGCAGGTATGTGTCCAGTCAGCTTCGTTACTAATCGTATCTTATATTGATCGGAAAAAGTGGTAATTCGTGCCCGCGAGGTCTACGGAATATGGAAGCAGATGTTCACCAACCTCTTACTCATGTCCTTGTAGCGCGGCTTTTATAATCGTTATTATGTGCGTCATGCTATTTGTTGAGAAGGACGACCTTGTATCATCTGGATAATCCCGTCGACTCGTTGCACCTATATATATATATATATATATATATATATTTTTTTTTTCCTTGTTGATAGTCGTGTCCTTCAAATATTTCATAAACCGTCCGCTCGTTGAACGGGAGATTTAGCTCAACTTTGGGTCCGGGCTTATATGCTGGAAGTACTCATTGGATTGCTGCTTTATATCGGAATGGAAACACCAATTCTCCTCTCTGATGTCAATTCTGCGTAAAACGCTGTCATTTTGGCTAGGATATCTTCGGTGCCGGACAGGGTGGTAGAAGGCAATGAGGGGCAGTGTGATTCTTCATGATATCCATTCAGTGCATGAGGCACGCAAGCTTTTAATTTTGCGTAAGGTGCTTGTCGATACTCATTTGATTGCAATTCGTCTTCTCGGCCAATCTACGGATTGCTCGCTAGCCGTTTACCTTCACAAGTGGCCTCAGGGATGTCGACCAGGGCAGTGTGCACGCTCCGCTTCCAAGATGCCATTACTAACTTTGTAGGCCTGTTCCGAACAGTCTATAAATTTTCGCAGTTTTTATCGATGAGTTGATAAGAATATCGCATGCCGCTGTGGACGGAACTTCAACTTCAGATAAATGAAGGACACGTGTCCAAACTGCACTTTTTTTTTTACCACGATTGAAGCCTGAATTCGAAAGTGATAAAGTTACATTCACTGCACAGTGAAGTTCCGACGAGAGAGGGCTCTCGAATGGTATATGAACAAATAGTAAAAATACCATTTAGACGAACGACAGTTACTGATGTCCCACCTAAATAGCATGCAAGAACCCTTCACTTACCCCACGGTGTTCTTTGCGCTAGTTAATGGTAGTCTCCATGAAGATGTCACCGGCAAAACTTGTGAAGCACTCCAGTCCGAAAGTTATTCAAAAAGACTTCTGCTCTAATTTAGGCAAGCTATCAAAAGGATAGCAAATATGAAAACGAAACGCTCACCTATGCTATGATATAAATATTGTTAACAAATACACGCCAAAGCAAATGATAGCGAAGGACTCGTTCCCGCCAGTCAACGACAAAAGTGAGTCGTTTCCGTGGCAATAGCCGAATGAATGGCCAAGCAAAGTTCGACGAGGGAAAGTCAGAGAAATATGAGTGGCTCGCAAAAGAAAGACAAAAATGGCCACCAGGTCAGGCAGCGTGGCGTTCGATTTGAAGAAGTTCTCTCCATAGACAACCTCTGTGGGGACCAGATGGTTTGAGATTTGGTTTTGCGGTGAATAAAAAAAAGGTTCACAGATAGATTAATAATCGAACAAATATATATTAGCTAGACTACACTTAATTATACGATGGTTTCTGTATTATTTTGTCCGATTCCGTATATTGCCTATGTGGCTGGTACAGAAACTACTGAGCTGAAATAATACAATACCTGAATCTCAGTTTAGACTTTGTATGATTTATTGTTTCCTTCATATTTCGTACTATTACACACATGTCTATATAAGGTATCGCATGTGTGGCTGTCGGTGTTCAAGATGACGGCAAAACTATGATCCATTATTATAAAGGCTTGCTATCATGTCAGAATGTTCGAACTCTTCCGAATCACTCAAAATCGCGAATTACTCTTTCCTTTTCCATATCATTACACGTACGCCTGTTTTGTACGTTGGACTCTCTCTCTATATTACCTCGAGGTGTCTGCTATTTGTTTGTATCTGTAAATTCTGTCCGATAACTCATGTGTTGCATTGGTCAATCACAGGAGGGAAAATAGCGGCATATTAAATGTATTCATAGTTCTTTCACAGAGATCCTTGTTGTTGCACGTGAGGCCCTGCTAGCTCGCTACCAGCCACACGTACCGAAACAGTAATTAAGTAAGTTAAAGTGTTGCCTTTTCCTTACCATTGCTATGCCATTTGTATCACTATTATTATTAGCAACGCTACCACTAATAATGTTACCATAAATGGAAGATTTTTTATCAGTATAATCCTTACAAACTACATACGTGTATGCATCAGAATATCTTTAATACGTTCGTCTATATATGCGGAACAATCTTCTGAACGTCAGCTGACGCCTTTTGATGTACTTCACTCGGATACTTCATTTACCTGTATATCGGTAATACAACTATAAAGTATTTATGCTGCGTGTTTTTATCAGACGTGAAATTAACATGTCTCCGTAAAAGGACGCAACAAAACCGTTTGACACTAACTACCTAAAGATGTCGTTTGTTGTGGCGCGTCGGCGGCTTGATGTCGCATGGTTCCTACAATAAGAACAATCCCAATAAACGCACTGACATTTACAATACTAGTTACAGCAGTACTTTGTCATTACAGCCTTAGAAGTAGCGTTCAGCCACTTGTCGATCAATCAATTACTAGTACATGCCGCCACCGCTAACTAGAAAAAAAATATGACCGAGCTACAGTTTTAGATGGCGCGTTGGTGTGCTAAATTTCAGTTAAATCAATTTTTTTTTACACATAGAGAAACAATAGATTTCCACTAGATAGACGCGTGTATGACGATCGGTACCTGGACGAAAACATATTGAAACATCGTAGGTGAAACACAGTAAGAGCTAACGCGAAATTCTTAAATACGAGGGAGCTCAGTGTCAGCAGCTAAACAACGTCTTATCATATTTTTGATTGAATATGAATTGAATGAAGCAAAAAAACTATTAACAGGTTTCTCTTTACAATTTATTGTTTGCGAAATTTTTGGACGAGAAAAATGGGAGAGAAATAGATAGCAGGAACCCACAGAAACACTTTTATCTTCGTTCTGTCTTAAAGATAATCCCAGAATGATTGTTTGCCGTGATGCTTGTCGGTACAAGCCAATTTCGGTGTCGTTCTAATAAGGGTAATGACGATCAAGTATTTATTAAGGCGCTATTATAGTGCAAATATAATTTTGCATACTTTTTAATTTCAGCGTAACAGACAAGGGCTCTTTGTTTTAATCGTACACTTAAATACGTGCGTCAGTGTTGAACGGCGTAGGGGTGAAGCGCATCTAAAATACCCGGGCACCACGATGGCTGAGGGACGTCGCTGGGGTATCACTGGAGAAACTACGCGCACACAGCACAATATCTATACAGTAGTCATAATTAAATGTTTGCAGAAGACCACAAAAAAACGCTGAATAGAGATGTCAACGGAAATACAAACAACCTGGAGTCGAGAAATCGCTCCCAATAGAGCAAGTGACAGCGATGCGTCTCGAGAATTTATGCAGCGCAAAAATCGAGTATCATTCTACGGCTGAGGCATCATCTGCCCTGACATGGCCGAACTAAGGCCATCTGTTGGAATAAACAGGTCAGCGCAGTCTTGCTTAAGCCTTTCACTAAATCTGCCTAACCTGATTGAACGGAACATTCGTTTTTTCATCAACCTTTATATCTACCTGTGCTACTCACGCATGTGTATGTGAGCTCAGCCTTCTGATCAATTAACTGATTTGTGCCTGCTGTGTTGTATATAGTAGCTTAAATTAAATAAGGCAGGAAAAATCAATTGTGGGCTATCTCTGTCCAAACTCTGTCTGCGTCTCTCACCGCGTATTTAGTTCTTCCCGATAGCAACTGCTCAACCCTACAGCCACACGTATCAGTTTTTCTCCATAATTGCTTTTCCATTTTTACCATTAATTAGCGCCACCGGCAATATCTTTGTCCTCAGCTTTATAGTTGTCTTTATCAATATGGGAATCACGTATATATACGTGCGTGTGTGTGTGTGTGTGTGTGTGTGTGTGTGCGTGTGTGTGTGTGTGTGTGTGTGTGGCACCACCGTATAGTTTATGACGGTAGAAGATGTTGTATAATATACCCTACTTGCTTTTCTTACTATTAATGCTCATACTGCTCTTGTTTGTTATTAATAATAACATTATTCATTAATGGATTTGTTTCCATTATTCGCTGTTCGTTTTACTCATATATAGCTTTATATATGTATATGGCATTACTGTAATTTTAGTACTGATAGCTGATTTACAAAAATGAGAGATCGAAAATAGTCACATATCGTCATCACCAGCGTTTACCGCGCCAGATCCACCAGAGGGTACAAGCTTTGCCAACAGACGCGAAACGCTATTGCGGAGGGAGGCGTTCTCTTTTCTATTCTCTTCCTGTTACCGTCGCCCTCGGTACGGCTATATCGCGAGGGCCATACATTGCAACAGAAGCCGCTCAGGAGCAGCAACTCACGATAACACTGAAGATCATCTTTATACGGTGCAAGTCAAATACACAAGCGGAGAAAGTCCCAACAACTAAAAATGTTTGCAAACATTATGCACATGGAGCGTATAATATGCTCGCTCACTTGCAAGCCGATTGGCACAAGGGAGATGTGTTTCGACCTGCACACATGTATACTAGCGCCATCATGTTTATTCGACAGATTATATATATAGTCCATGTATTCCACTACCGCCGCGGAGCGTTACAATCACCTCTGTATTTTAGCATCAACAATCAATGCTCTTAGTTAAGGAAGAATAAATAGATTCATTGTTTCGTCTCAGCGTGTTGGTGGTCTAAGACCGTCTTCGTTCGTGATATCATGCCCGCGATGTTATGCTCTGCTAAAGAAGCTCAGATCAACAACGACTTTCTTTCGCGTTTTTTGGTACTTGAGTTTTTTCTCAACGTATTCAATAAGGGTTTCAATTTTTATCCTCCATCAGAGTAGCCCCCTATTTATCGCTAAAACTAAAATAGGGGCAATAGTAAATCGAAGATTATCTTCGGCGATTGAAATGCAGGCATAGATGCGAGGGGCCGATTCGCTGTCCTGGGGCTTTCTCAAGAGCTTCCTGCCGACGGCTGGGGCTTCATCGTTGTGAGGGAACTAGAGACAGAAAACATGCGACTGTGTTCCCCTCCCCGTGCGCATGCAGCATCAGTCTCAGCGTTTATTAGTACTTGCGGTTTCCACCCCTTTGCGTGCAGCCTTTCGCTCGCGTTCCATTCCCCTTTTGAGTTCTTTGATCTTCTTCTTAAGCAGAGCACGATCCGCTTCTTCACGAACTCCAAACTCCTTGAGCTTGCTACCACTCTTTCCTAACTCCAACAGTTGTTCACCGGTTATGCCGTTCGAAATAAATGTCTGGGAATATAAACCACGCACAAACAAACACGATGGGTACAAAGTTTATTTCGATTACCCTTGATACCTTGAGGTTGGTATATATATATATATATATATATATACGGCGCCAAAAACGCGCACTCAATAGATTGTTTATTGATATGTACGTACGTATGATTGAAGTCATTGCATTTAGCGAATTAAGAAAGCTGTGAAAAGAAAGCACTTTTCCAAAAAATGCGATGGCTTCAACACGAACCTCTCTGTAGGCCTTTAGACCGTGCTCGGTTAACCATTTGCAAACATCGCGAGGCCCCCAGGACATAACGTCTCGTTGTTGTTGTTGTTGTTGTTGCTGTTGCTGCTGCTGCTGTTGTTGTTGGATCACGTCTTCTCCTCGCATAGATCTTGTCGTTGACACGGAATCAATGGCCGACTTGCTACCGTAGTATTGATGTGTGCCGTGCCCCAATAGAAGGGAACTTACATCAAAACAGCCTACGACGTCTGAACAGCCAGTGTCCCCACTGGGTGACATGGGCATCGATGAACGAACTATCCGTGAAACTCCATTTTGAGAAATGGTCACATCGCCCAGATAACTCTTTTCGGTTGACCCAGTTCCTAGTGGTTGCGTCGACTGGTTCGTCTGAGCCACTTGAAGATTTAATGTACTAGACGTGTTATACGTTTGTTGAGGTGAGCCAAAATGATCACCAGTTATTGAACTGGCGCTATTTATTTGGCCATGCGATTGGGTTTGAGTAAAGCTTTGGATACTTGAACTATGAACACTAGTTGGGAGACTGCCGTTGCGTCCTAGAGATGACGTATTTAATCGAGCGGAAATTAGTCGAATTCCTGAAATGCAACGTATACAATCGACTTGAAAATCTACACAACCAGGAGTCCCTAACCCTTCGCTCGCAAACTTCGCTTTCAAAAAGGCGGCGGCGGCGGCGGCGGCGGCGGCGGCGGCGGCAACAACAACAACAACAGCAACAACAACAACAACAACAACAACAGCAACAACAACAACAACACTCTTGCAAGGATAATGCTTGTTCATGGGGGGACACTTGTTGGACCTACAGTCTATATAGAAAGTATAAGCCAATCTATTTATATCGTACGAAAATGAAATTATCTCATACCGAAATCAGTCTGCATACCACCCCACTTAATAAATAGCAGCACATCTCTGGACCTCGTAGTCAATCACCTTGACGACGGTAGTGCATTATGCTTTGTGTATCAAAATCTTATGTCCGTATCGCTTTCAGTAATGCACCAGCTTACCTCCATTGAAAACCAGCCCAGGCAGCGCTTTGTGATTTTAGAGAGGTAACATCCCATCCGGAATAGTAGGATCCCTCTATCTGGACGGGTGTTTCGCTTGTTGTGGTGAAACACTAGCGCTAGTTCAATTATTGACACTGTCTAATCCATATTGAGTGTTTGGTAAATGGCGATAGCAGAAACGGCTTTGACATGACAAATGGCTACCGGCGACTGTTGCTAGGAGGAACTGACACTATTAACAGTCATAGATTGCACCGTTTGAACTAGCACCACTTTTGTGCTTTGGCGATACGAGACCCGGTGCAAAGTTTCTGCGTAAAGATGCTACTGTTGTTGTTGTTGCTGGTGATCGAGGTGTGGTTGTTGAAGACACAGAGAGGAGGTCACAATTATATGGCGTTGCATTGCTGTTACTCGGGCGCGTTAAAGGCGTATATTCGGCCGTGTTCTCCGTCAGGCCTGTAGGAATAAGGACAAAGTAGGGCCGAAAAAGTGACGCAACAAAACAATACATCAAAATGGCAGGAAAACAGCGAGGAAAGAACAGGCAGTAAGAGAAAGTAAAGCGTTATGAGAATTTTTGAATTTCTAGTTACCTAAGCTGTAAAGCTTAAGGCGTTTGAAGCGTATTCATGAGGAACGATGTGCTCATGAAAGCAATGTTCACACATGCACAAACTTCCTTTGGTTTACGACTCTAGCTTGTAACTGCCTAGCTACCTAGTTTAATTATCAAGCATTGAAGACTGAATCATGCAAAAATAAATCGTCCAACGTCGTCAAACAACACGTCGGGTGTCGAACGTGTTGTCTTTTTTATAACCGCCAGATTTGAAATTACAGCATAAATCGACGACTTTAACAGAACTAGACTGTATGTTTTCCTTAGTTATTGGCGGTTTTTAGATGTCACCGTTATAACAACAATAATAAGATATATTAGGCTATCACAAGCGAATCTGGCAGACTTTGAAATTAAAGTTGGGGGCTATAGAATATGCTTCCTTTTACTTTTTACACTCTTTCACCAGCGCTCAGGAGGAACAACTACATACCTACCAATCGCGTTCCCATATGTAATTTCTTATATAGTCATAGATAGACTTCTCGAAGTAAATCAATACTAGGATATGCTAGCCGACCAATTACGCTCTCGGAAACATGAAAAGTTACATCTGTTTAGAGTAAGAGAGTAAGTAAATTCGAACGAACGTTGCTCACTCGTACCAAAAGTCATTGAGGCTTGGCAATAAGGTCTATCATTGTCATCAACTAACTTTCGATTCGCGGGTCACCAGCGGTCCATGAGAATTTCACGATTAATTGTTTGACTTTCAGCGAGTATCTCATGTAGGTTGATGTCCATCGCAAATATTACCATAACCTTACGTCCGAGCTTACTCGACACTGCCACCAAACTTCTTTCCAGGGAGACTCCCTTACCCGATCTTCCATGGGCTGGGGGCAGAAATCGTCCATAATGATCATGTGCTCTAGATGGGTTTTCTGTTGATCAAGGTTCGGCGAATCGCACGCGAAGTATATTACACGCATTTTCAACTGGTCTAGAGTGAATTTATGGGAAACTAATTTCTAATCCAGTTTTCGCGTCTAGGTTATTTGGATGATAGTTTTGTAACGCCTAACATGTTAGAGTCCTAGTTTTGACTGACAGAGCCCTAATCTTCCAAGCTTCTTCTCGGTTGTGGCAGTGCATTCTTGCCCTTCGTGTCCCGACATCCACCGCTTCTTCACGGGCTTTCAGTCGTCAATTCTCAGAACCTCCGCATCATTCATTCGCTTAAGGCCCCCTTTCCTAATGCCTTCACCAATTTTTGATGAATATTTGCATCTTTGCGGCCTTCGAGCGATAAAAACTTTACTGTTCAACGGTGTCTTCTGAGGCTAGAAGATGTCCTTCCTTTTTGAACGGCTTTCCACGCACAAGTTTGTGAAATACTAGGGTAAACTTCATCTGCTACGAACGCTGGTTCAAAAGTTATGAAATTCCAAAGTCCCCCGGATTCCGTTGTAATACACTAATAATAATTATTGTTATAAGAGTACGAGAAGATGCTTGCGAAGAACATCGAGAGTGCCAACAGTGACAACAATAGCATCCCCTGTCTGCGCGCGCTGACTTAGGAAGATTTAGGCCCTCTTTTGTATCTAATTGAGCACTGCAATCATGCTTGAATCACATCAAAACTAGTGTCGTTAATTGTTATTAGGTGTAGCAGCATCAGTGCTCTAACAGAAGACTACGCAGCTCAACCATGCAGCTCTTTCTGAAACAAAGCTGGAATAGTCTTCCCAGTTCATTGCGGGCACCGCTTTTACTATATATCAGTAATAATAGAGTAAAATCCATTTGCGATACACAGCAGAAGCATAGACATTTGGTTATATAGCATTCCAATTCTGTAAACGAGCAACCGAGCCTGCAAACTTTCAAGTCTCCACTAACGTCTATGAGGACCCGGTCCATAAGCTTTCCGCTAATCTTCCCCAGTCTTTAGAATCACTCACAGTCAGAGTTCGCTGTAGCAAAAGCTCAATGAAACAAAGTCATCCAACATCTAGCCATTTCCAGAAGCAGCCACTCATGCGGGGTTACATGATTTCCCTTACCTGGATGTGTCACTTGTTACTCGGCAGATTGAGCTTGGATTGGAAAAGGAAGCAGGACAGAGTGCATACAGCGGTTAGATTTCTTTTCAGTCAAAATTCAAAGTTGTCTAACTGACGAGGTTACAGCCGCCATATTAAGTCAGCGAAGATTATTCCGCAGAGGATAGCAAGCGTATTTTGCACGTTTTACGGCAAACAAGAGCGTCCTCTTCAAGAAGACTGTAGTCTCGCCTAGGAATATAGGTGTGGTGATAGTGTGCAATCGATGATCAGGTTTGTACGTACCTACTTTCCGCCAACCATATTTACCACCTAACTTTACAACCCTTAACAACGAATGATGTTGACGTTATAGATGCTTCACGCATTATCCACGCAGAGTATTATATTTAAAATTTCCGTATTCAATTGCTAGATTAGTTCGTAATGAACAAATTAATACCACTTGAAGTATTGAGTTGTTTTGGCGATTGTGCTTCTGCTTCTTCCGACGATCGGGACTTGCGCATGTTTTTTGGAGGTTGTCGTAGTCCACGCAGGTTTCGTCCAAGCTCAGCTTTGGCACGTGCGGCCGAAGTGTCCAAAAATTCAGTAGCTGGCATCATACTGCTCAAAAGTATCATAGCTGCAATATAGCGCATCAGCAATTATGAACGTTTGTGTCAAATGCCCGCTTGTAAAAGCCCCCGAAAACCTAGCGATGTTTGAGAGATAGTTCCAGTTTGCGAATGCAACATCTCGATTGTCTACAACTTATCTATGTAGCAATATTGCTAATAAGCCACTAAGTATACAAAGTCGCTACAAGTACTGGTTTGATGCATGTGCGCATATTAACTTACATTCATCTAGGCTTTGTGCGCGATTCTCGCGGGGTCGTGGGATCGCGACCGGCAGCCCAGCCGAGCGTTGAGTCTCTTCTAGCATTCCTTCCAACTCGATTACGCGATCCTTGAGGCTCTTCACAACCTCGTTATAATGCTGTTCTTTTTCTAACTCTAACTTTAACTTAATCTGGTCATCATCCCGCTCTTGAAGGCCTCTCTTCAGCCGCATACAGATCGATTCACTCTGTTCCAGTTGTTCCTGTGAGCAGAATGCAATTACTCTACCAAATACTTATATAGTAGTCGATTATGAGAGTAACTTCTAGTCGAAGGAATATATTTAGAAGGAATTTCTATGATCAGACAAAGTTAGATCTAAATCTGTCTCCTTAAAGTATTGCGTCTCGTACGTTCTTGAATGCTGAACGACCAGATTCATGTGTTAACCAAAGAGCTGACAGGATCGATCGAGCACTATAACCGAGCCTTAGTCACGCTATCTCCACAATTTAACAATTCGAGTGATCACAGAGAACGTAGTTTCATCGGAAGCGTTTCGAAGCCTTGCTGCTAACGTGTACATGATTTTAAGTATTAGTAGAGAAGAATTAAGAATTTTTAAATATTAGTAGAACCACTTGAAAGCCTTGGCTTACCTTGAGTGCTCTGGTCTCCTCTGCATATCGCTGGTTGGCCTCTTGTGCGCTCCTCTGGGCCTCCTCCAAGCGTCGCTGCGTAATGTGCAATTGCTGGCCGAGACGAACTCTCTCCTCCTCTGACGCGTCCAGGCGGTCACGAAGCGCCCGGACCTGATACTACAAATGCAGAAATAAGGCCGATTTGATGTTGCCGTATTTTAGTTAGGAACATGAGTAGGGCACGTCTGCGAACACATCTATATTCTTTTTGAAAAAGCTCATATTTCCTTTTTTTAGCATGGCGTTAGCGTGTGACTTTAGGTCAACGAAAATTCTGTTGTCAGTCGTTGTGCATTAGTACGTCATTTGTAAGTGCGTATAACTAGCCAGAACATTAGTTAACGTTAACAATGAGGGGCATAACTCGCAGACCAACTGGCTTCCAGGCTACTTAACCTGCATAGGCCAACTTACGCCTTAGTTTTTTTTAAAACGAAACTAACCTGAAGATCTCGGTAGCGCGCTACAAGCGTCCCATGGTTACCAGCCGCGTCGTCCGCTCCTCCACCGTCCTCAGACAAAGGATCGTGGGTAGCGTCTGCAATTACGTGTATAGAAGTTATGCGATTACGGTTAGAAGTCAAAACTTTCCACTGCCACAACGGCAAGGTCAATTTGGCTTACTCGTAGACTTTTTTTTTTATTAACTAATTATATCGGTAAACGTTTCAGTAGCTACGACGATAGTCAAACGTCATTCTAAAGCGTCCTAAGTGTTTACTCCTATTGAAAGAACATTTCCTAATGTAAAATTAAAAAGAGTTAAAAAGAACCGAACACTGCAACAGTAAACATTACCGTTGCGATGATCGTCAGCTCAACGTTTAGAAAAGGATATAGGATATTGACATTGCTGGTCTTTTACTTTGTTCGCTCTGCTGCCTTATATTACCGTTTGCCGGGTCCGCAGATCGGCTTCTGCTAGAGCTCTCGTTGTATTCAAAATCTTAGATATACATCGAGCATCCAACCTTCGCACTTACGTGAACATTTCTTTATTTTTCCTGACCATTTACTCTGCTGTTGAAAAAAAAGGCTCCTAAGAAATGAGTGTCCGCAATTCGTATCGAAAAATGGAGACTGACTAACTAAAAATGCTGCATAATTATTGAGCCACCAAATTAGAAAACGTTTCAATCAGACAGTACACCTCGTACGTCTAGTACAACGAAACCGTTCCGAGCTCAACTAACCTGATTAGGACATTTACTACTATACTTATCATTAGTATTAATATTTCTTTCTTTTAACCAAAACAAACAGTGATGACGACAGCGTACAAGATGGCTTGAGACAACAGCTGAATACATATACAGAAATAATAAACTGAAAGGTAACGCTGAACAAAACTGACCAATGATGGGCAGGTCCTCACCCTCCTCGGGAGTGGAAGGGCCGCTCGTGGAGTGAGGCTCGGGGGAGCCCCTTCGGTGTAATCCGCCAAGGCCAGTAGTGCCACTGCTATGGTCTCCGGGCACCCCTCCAACCATAACATCTCCGTGATGGTGATGTTGTGCTCCTTGCTGTATGCGCTGCAGATGCTGTTCTCGATCCCGATCAGCCTGAATAGACTGAGCGATTAGTGCCGCAATCTCGCTATTGCTTTGGTCCCTCTCGCGGCCGATAACGAAGCGTACGAGTCCGGACGTATTCTTGAGAACTGAAGCGGCATACGCTTGCGTTACGCCTACGAGTGATTTTCCGTCAACCTCGATGATCTGGTCGTTTACTTCAATATGCCCGTCTCGAGACGCGGCCCCATGAGGTGTAATTGTTTTCACAAAAATGCCGAGCTTTTCAAGTCCCGCATCCGCGCCGACACCCATGCCGATTATCGATAAACCGAGACCCTCCGGACCTTTCATTAGTTGCACCTGAATGAACCATTATAACGTATGATAAAGATAGTCGGTAGAGCGATATGGCAGGTAGAACTGAGTTCTAGTCATAGTTACAATGCATATTAAATTGTACAGCGTCATAATAACATATACGTCATGCAGTATCAAAAAGGCAACTTTCGTCGTGTTAATCTAAAAATTTACCCCAAATACATCCATCTTTTCGATACGTTTCTCGAGTTCGTACTCGGCTGAGGCAGAGACTGGGTCAATTTCGTCGTTGCGCCGATCGTACTCGTCAACTGAGTACGTCAAATAGACGCGTATAGGCGCATGGGAAAACCGAATCTTGATGAAAGCTTTCCTTTTCTCCGTATCATAGGACATCGGCTGCGTTGCCGTTTTATTATGTGCTGTAAAATCGTCGCTAGTATTATACTCATGCTGCCGCTGCTGCTCATGGTCAAACTCGTTTTCATCGCATTCAAATGGGTCGTTCTCATCGTCCTCGGTTAATCCGGGTCGCTCTACATAATAATGCCCGTCTTCATCAACGTGCAATGAACCCAATGAGTCGGGCTCTGGCGAGGCAGGCAAAGTTCGATCGAGAACGTCGCCATCTAGATCGGCATCTTCTTCCATCGAATCTTCATAATTGTACGTGTTTCCTGCGCCTGGACTGGCAGCGCCTACCGAGTACGTGTTATTATTCGCGCCAGCCGGGCCGGCGGGCGCAGATTCGGTCACCTGTCAGATACAGACAAACTTCGTCTCAGTGGCCCTTGACGTGTATCGCTATTGATGTTGACTACTAACTTAGATTACAAATATTCGATTGTAATGTAAGTTCTCCTAATTATAACGATTACGTAATAATAATTAACGAGTAGATAAACTCTAGCACACAATACACCGAAACAGGCATTCTATGCTGGTATATGCCTCACACAGGTTAAAAATATTCTCCACACGCCTATAGTGATGTCGGTGATCGCTGAACAGTCGGCCTGCTGGCTAGGCATACTAAATAAAGGCACTTACTATAAAGCGTTGTCGTTGCTTTTTTTAACGAAGCTTAGTCAGTTTCTAAAGGGAACAACATGGCTTTAGATGACACTGTTCTACCATGGCAAAGCGCTTGGCTCTACTAGATGACATCAAACAGAATCTGGAAAATTCTCAATAAAGTGTTGTTGTATTTCAAAGCGGCCTTGAATTCAGTGCCCCAGGATACTCTTCTTTCTACACATTGTTTCGAAAGACTGTTTCAGATATGAGACCCCCCTACTCACCTATGTGAACAAAATTTCATATTTCATCCTGTTGTTACCGTGCAAAAACAATAGCTTCATGGTCGGTGTCAGCCCTAGAAGCTGCCGAGTCTACGCGGGTTCTTGTGAGAAACACGATAGTCTCGTATGTATGTCTGTAACCTTGTGACCAGCCAGACTAGCCTGGGCACAGGTTGACCTAATATGCGATCAAACTCGCTCGTTGCCTTAAGTTGTTTCTCCCCTATATTATCTCGGGAACTGTTTATGATTGTATATATCCATACATATAGTCCACGGCAATACTAATACGGTATCCCATATTCATTAATATTGCAAATTATTGATACGAAATAGCAAAGTCCTTACCGGGCTAGCTAAGTCATCAGCGTCGGCTGAAGGTGGTAAAACAGGAGCGACCCACTGTTCTTTGGCGGTTTGTCGTTCAGCTACGGCATCTGGACAAGTTACTTGTTGCTGTCGCTTCGTGCGCTCCATCGCCTCCTCGAGCTCCATCTCCTCCTGGATGAGCTGTTCGTTTTTTTCGAATGAGTTGTCCTTGAGTATTTGGCATACCTCATGAGCCTGTTCATCTGTTAGAATCTCCTCACACTCGTCGAACTCCATGTCGCCTCCGACGGCAGATGGACTTCGTTGATCCCCGGCCGCTGACGGACTAAATAAATAGGCAGCAGTTCATATGTACTTTGTGAGGCTGTCAGTGTACTTCGAAATGAAGCCCAGTTAGATACCAGATCATTTGTCAGAAGCGGCTTGTATTTACCTGTGCGTGCAGCTACTGGTTCGGCCTTGTCTGTAGCTGAGCAACGTAACGTGTTCATCTTTGGTCATCAACTGATCGCCTATTGCGGCGTCGTGTTCTGGCTGGCCTACCTCGTTAAGCTTCTCATCGAGTTGCTCCTCTTTAAGAGTCGAATCTCCGCTTGAAGAACCGCCTTTGCCTGCAGATATAGAGAAGACCAAAGAACGATCCTCTAGTAAACAGTTCCGAGTTTTAGATGAAGCTGGACAATTATCTATACGAGGACGGTGTTACTGTTCGTGACAGATATCGATTTCTAAATTAACCAATCGTCCTATCATAGAAAAACGAAGATCGCTGCTGCTCTAAACAGAACTTGCATAGGATCTAGAACAGTTCTTTAGAAATGCGGGAAATATACATTTTCGTAATTGATCTTTTGTGTTCATCATACGCGCGCGTCACGAGGTTAACGAATTACTACAACAATTTCATCATACTATCGCCGATGGCGCAAACAGTGAGATGGCTTTCAAGATTGTAATAAATTTATTTCCTTATTGAAGAGGGTCCACTCCTTTCGCTTTATTTCTAAATTTCAAGTAATGAAATACTACTACAATTGTTTATCCCAGGTCTACACTTTTGATTTCTTCCTTTTTTTTAACTATATTTTAATATATTTTAACTATAGCCGCACTCTATAGACTGCTCTTCTTTTGCGTAGTCGAGGGTATAGCAACGCCTTTTCGTAGACTATCTGGCACTTGAATAAGAGTAAAACGTTTATATTTTAACAACACTGTGAGCAAATGATCATACTTCGTTCAGTTGATCGCGCCGTTCGTGTGTGAAGACTCAAACGAGTAGGCGTAGGGTAAAATAGGAAGAGAAAACGTATATAAACATCTCATAGATGGCCAGCATAATAAAGCTGGCATTGAAAAGCGTGCACGGATAAGCATGAACATAAACAGACACACCCACACATACACAGTGACGTACATCAATTTCACGTGCGCTGGCGTCATCTGGATGACTAGTAGGCATTTTTCGGCGTGCAGTGCTCTAGCGCTGCGGTGAAGAAGCCGCAGCAGTATTCCGGCCGTCGAAAGTCCAAATCCCAGCGTTGGGACATGACAAAAAAATGAATGAAACAACGATATGGTTGTTTCGTAGCCTTATCGGTCTATTGAAAAAGCCAGCAAGATTACTTTTGGCGGTGCCAAAAGTGACTTTGACGACCTATCCACATAGAGGGATAGATGTGGGTCAGCTCGAAAAGCAGCAACGTTTAAGCACTCGTACACAGTCGGCCCCATATAGTACCATGAAGTTTACTCTAGCCATTGGTGACCCGATCCAATGCGCGGGAACTGAATCGCATTACGTTATAACGGTTTCATTTCTATTAGCTGTTGATTTACGTTATCGGACGCACCTTCCAGGGTCTTCTCTTCCGGCAATCCCGCGTGGCTCGATCTGGGGTCGCTGTTAGATGTCGAAGAAGTAGAAGTAACGTGAATCTCTTCTGCATGCTGCACGCATTCTCGTTTCGACTCTCGAACGCTGACAGAACTTTCCGACGACACCTAGTGATCAAACGTGTACGGAGTGCCGCGTTGTTAGTGTGTAAAAGGTGACCGAAGAAAATTGTGGGCTATAGCTGAGGAAAATTCGACATTATTGAATGGAACATCACGCGCTCAGTGGGTCTCTGGGCTAACGTAGCTCTTCCGTACACCCATATATGTGAGATTGTTGTAAACAATAGCGAAATCAGGCATGCATTTTTTTTTTGAGTGGTTAGAGAACGTCCACATCAAGCTTCTTCAACTTAGCAGTACGACTACAAACATAATTTCTAAGCGCAAAAGCTTATCTACGATGTATTCGAATTTATAAGTGGTGTATTAGTGCTGTCAAACCATTTAATATTCTGCTTGAAAATGTAAGGGCAACCAGCATGACTTTTGAGATGGACACTAACAGCTCACTAAAAGTTAAGTTTTTCGTGTAAACAGGAATTTCGATAGCCTCGATCTGTCGAAATTATCTTGACATGAGGTAACTTTACAAAGTGGGCTATATCTTAACAAAGCAGGGGTTAGAACGCATTACATCAGTACTGGACATAGGTATATTGTTTTCAATTAGGTATTAAAATGCTATTTTATATAATATATATATATTTTTATATATAAGCTTTTTCGGAGCTATTTAGCGAGTCGAAAAATATGCCCCATTAGCAAACAGAACTGGGTAAATATTTGCCTGAAGTATTACTCAAAGCTTGTTAAGTGAAATCAGAAAATAATGAAGGTCTCGTTCCGTGCTAAGGGGAAAGCCAAACATCAAACAACAGGTTTTTGTTTCTTGAGAATAAAAGCTTTGCTAGAGTCTATTGAAAAATGATTAAGCGGATTAGGCGAAGATATTCTTCAGTGAACGAACAATTCGTTACTGGTCTATTTATTTCAAGAATAAAAATTGGGAGGTTGAGGAAAGTGACCATATCTTACGACTCCAATGGGAAAGACGCGTTGTTGTGGCCGCGCAAACATCTAAGCAATACAGAGTACGGTCAGTGTTTTCCTAGCGTATCCAACTCCCTGTCCACTCAATAGGAACTTTTTTGAAGCACCTGTTATCGAGTTATAACGACAATATAACAGATGGTAAATAAAGCAAAGCGAAAAATTTGTGCTTCATAAATTAGGTACAAAAGATATGGAAACGCGTGCATACTCTGATAACGATTCACGCTACTACTGCTAGCAGAAAACATGCTCAAGGGCGCATCATCGTCTTAGACGAGAGCTCCGCGGTGCCCACTACGGAAAAACGAAAAATCAAATCATTTCGTTGAGGACGCCGCACGAGTTCGGCCATAGGTTAATGAAAGTTAAGAAGCCCAGATGATCTATGGGGTGAAGACTAACAACACAATGGTGTTCGGCAATAATGTTAGACTTCATTGCTTCGTTCCAGTCGCGGCCAATAAAGATACGATCGAACAACAGATTTGGTCCCATGCCCTCCAGAATTAAATCCGTGCCTTTATGCTATAAGGGGTATGCTAACAAGATTCGATATGCTTACATATCGTTCCAAAAGTCTCGAGTAGTGCCTTCGACCTGTGTACAACGAACAGGAGTACATACCACATATATATATATATAATATATATATATATATATATATATATATATATCGTTCTAGCGTATACGATCTATGAATTATGCAGCTCTTTCGACTCGCCAAATGATGATAATGGTAGTAATTATAGAACAGTAGTTATACGACGTTTATAGGAAGCAATTAGTAAGGTTTCGAGGAATACGCGAGGAGTTAGGGGTGCATGCATTGTGATAAGTGAAACGCATTCGCCGCGGCAGTTTTTGGCCTCCTTCAGCCATTGATGATACCTGTTCTGATTGCTCTGTAAGTGGACTTAAATCGGACGGGGCCATTATTGCCCCTATAATTATAGCTGTTTCATTAACACCGCAGTTTTCATCTTCAAATTGACACGTACGCCCACTTGCGTTAACTGCACTTAACTGTAACCAATTACATAGCAAACATAAATTTCTATAGTTCCCTGTTTTTGCTTTTTTTTCCCGCTGGGCATTGATTTATCGACCTGATATCTACATGCTGCTGTCGTACCTTTCCGACAGGGAAAAAAATTCACATCAGCAATCATTCCAGCTGATAGTGACGAAAGGCTCACTTGACTGCCTACAGTGACAAAAGCAATTGTGTGGATTTTTACAACAAGAGAATAACGTCGCCAATACAAAAAGGTAGCTGGCAAGCTTACTTACCCCCTCAGAGGCTCCTATCGTCCCTGTCCTGAGCATATCATCTGGAGGCGGTGGGCGTCGCGTTTGCTCGGAGTCCGCTTTTTTCCGTATCGTTGACGACCCCAGTCCTTCAAGACGCTGCGATAATGTGTCCCTGCCAGAACAGACATCATCGAGCTCATCTTCAATTGAGGTAAAGCCCGAATCTAGCCTTTGAGGATTGAGCAGTTCTCCCGTAGATGTCAACGAGTCTGGTTGATCGATTAAATCTCGCCCTTGGCATCTATAAGCGCAAAGGCCCAATTAATATGTTCATTTGGACAAAAAAACGATTCATGCGAACTATGTCGTTAGTTGAAGTTGAAGTAACAGATGCTATCTGCGACCTCGGCTATTCTGTAGAACACACGCGGCGTTGAAACTCTGATAAACAAACGTTGCGGAAATGTATTCATTCTATATTTTTAATTACCACCAGAGAACCGGTTTGTTGAACGATGAATTCTTAAATTTTTTTATTTAAAAAAGACAGTGCGTCGTTTCACAGTCTGTGTGATGACCAGCTATTATACAGCCTTTTTAGGCTAAACGAGTACCTACGCAGGTTCACATGAACTCGATGCTCTACGTTATTGCCAATTTGCACATGGCTACTGAAAAATCCGAGGAAAACGTGTGATAATTTAGAAAGGTCGAAAAGTGACCAAAAGGTCATCGTTGATACGCCTGGATTTATCATATCGAAATTAACGACCGTCTCAGAGACCAGAATATTAATAGCCAATTTGGTTCTAGGTTTTAATGGTTAGACTTTTTCAAGCCTGTCACACATTTCAAGCTTCTTGGCCATTTTGAATCGTTGCATCCTTGAGTCGTTGGTATTAGAATTAACACCTGAACAAGCTTACAGTTATCAACATCGCTTGACGCATGCTTTACTAATAAAAGGTTATTTTCGGATCAAATGAGGCATATTCTGAGACAGACTGTTACATGAAAAATACGTGGCTTAAGTCTCAAATTGAAGGTGAAATCGTGGTGAATAGTGGTTGTGTTAGATGATATGACCACCAAGAAGGAAGAACATTTTTACAGCATATAACAGATGTCTGTTTTTCTTTAGATATAGTCTTAAAAACAATTCAAAGTAAAAAGTCCAGATTCAGATGCCTGTTTGAAAACACATACGGGAGATTGGGATAATATGAGCCAAAATTTACCGTTGGAAACTTTAGAGTGAGAGAGAGAAAAATTATACCAGGGTATTTGTAAATTTTCCTATCATGTGGCCGAGGTGGACTTTGTACAACCTATTTATATATGGATATATATATATAGATATATATATATATATATATATAGATATAAATAATACAATTATTTAATGAATATACATCGCCCTGGGAAACGGCTACGTAAACTGCTGATGATTTACTACGGAAAAGTCTGATATCTAACACACCTAGTGCAAAAATATTTTGTCTTTTTAGTCTTTCACTGCCAAGTCAGGTAGGTCAAAGGTAATAATAATCTGTCTACTGTGGGTCGATATGACATTTTGCTTTGCGGTGTAGAGTCGGCTTTTGAATAACCCAGGTATTGGCACATTCGCTGTTTGAGAGCCTTTGTTTGAAGCCAACTTGAAAATAAGGAACCCCGTCTACCTATCGTAGTTACGCACGACTCCGGTATAGCGAAATACCTACGGTGAATTCTGATCTATGACCATGATCCTTTTGTAGCATGGTGCAATATCAATAGTCCTGTTCAAACGATGCCATCGTATTAACAGCCTTAACAATTGTTTTAAAAGCAACTACATCTAAAACATTGTTGTTGACAACAATTACTGCATGGCCTTAATTATGATGTACATCCGCATTTGTGCTAGCCAAGTTATGCTCCGAATCAACTTAATTTCTTCGTAAAATTAGCAACGATACAATTCGGTTGTGGGTCTGTTCGTGGCCCGCATAACGTTATTTGCCCTGGTCCATATAACCACCCTCAAACTTCTCCTGTAATAATGATTTCTAAGAAAAGCGTGCTTTCATTTTGCCTTTGAAAATTTTGCTTTGGCCTCTTTGTCGTTCAACAGAAGTTCGGTGCAAAACGGAAGATATACTTAGCTGTATAATATATATATATATTTTTGCAAATAGAAAAAAAGAATTTATATATATTTGTATGTCACCGAACTCTTATTGGACAATAAAGAAACAGCAAATAAGCATTCCATTTTTCTTCGATCCCAAGACTGAAAGCCAGCGAAGTTTTTTATACTTATTACGTTAAGTTATAGTACATGGTTGTCTTAAGGGTTATAGCTAGCGGCACTAGCGGTTATTAGACATAGAGTTTAGAGAATATATGGACAATCGGAGGCCATCGATGTGAACTTTACAATCGAACTTAGGTCGACAACTAGGTAGTCTGAAAGTCTAACTTACGAAATTAACTGGATGAAACTGACATATTGTACTTTTGAATGCACTCATTGTACCACATGTCATTATTGTTATTACAAAATAATTGATGATTCTGTTGACGTAACGTATCATTCTTTGAACTATATGAGCCGACGCCGTAGATGTGCTCAATTTGCATTATCCAAAAGCAGAATTCATTGTGGTAAGCCTATTTGGCTCAAATAATAGAAAAGTATTTTATGAACATATTGATATATTTTTCCGTTTCTGTTCGCAGCGAGATTCATTTGATGATTTATTCTTAAAAAAGTTATTGTTAAAAGCTTTGATTAATTTTACATAGAGTTTTGTCACGATCCTGACACTTGCCAACCCCACTTACCTATCGTCCAGCTGATGCACATTGTTTCGGCGATTTGCTATATCTGTAGCTGTCCTGCTGTCCTGGGCATTAAACGATGTCCTGCCCAGTTCTGAGTGACTCACACCCTCCTGGTAATGACAAGATTCTTGTGGCCTCCGATTGCCATCGGCGTGTAAAGCTCCATTCTGCTGAGCAACGCTCTGCATCTGTTGTAAGCGCGAGTATAACTGCGGGGCTGAAATAATAAAATGTCAAAAGTGTCAGTAAATAAATGGTCGGTAACCAAAACGGTAGGAAAATAAAATACATTTTATTTATTATGAATGTCAGAGAAACCTGTGATTGTGCAACAATATGCAAGGCTAAACCGAGCAGAGGAACGAATAGCTCTCACGTCAAATTGCCTTCGGGCATTTTGGGGCTATACAGGATTCAGGGCTCCAAAATAAAGATCAAAGGGCGGTGCTCAATGAAATTCTTAGATATTTACGAGACTAAATTAATTTTGCTCTTGCCTTACTCAGCGAAACGGTACGTTCGTAGTTGCACCGAAGATGCTACGGGCTGGTGCAATCGATATACTGGCGTATTTCAATTTTTATAACCTGAATGATCTTTTCAAACTTGTAGCCAGATCGAGATCTATCACCAATAACGCTTTTGTTAGATGAAAGTAAAGTACATTTGCTCGGGTCATTTAATATAAGTAAGTGGCCATTTTAAGGATAACGTACATTGATTCGTGAGGTCAGCAGGAGGTCTTTAAATGAGAGCGACCACAACGTCAAATTTGATCTATCAGTTTGCTAAGGTGAGGGACGCCTCCATAAATGTCCTTTTTATTATAATTATTATTATTTACTATTATTTTATTACTAGTCATTTATTATAACATGGTCTTCCAAATAGCTCTTCGTAAGGCTAATATTACAGTGTGTTGACTTTTAAAGTCGATTACGGCTTACTATTTTATCTGATTTAGGTCTATTTTTTACGCTTTGTTTCTAAGGCTGTAATGAAAATATGTCCCGCTGGAAGGGTTGTTTCTAACGGTTATGTTTAATCGATATAACCGTTATTCATGCCAATTACAGCCGTAATTCAGGACCCAGGCCATTGACTAGTCGTTTTAAAAATGTTCCTTAATTCACCTGCATATAAATTTTCAATAGTGTTCATACGTCAAGCCATATTAGGAAGCGTTCAATCGGTGACGTGCCGCTTAAATACACTACGTAGAAATTGTAACGAAATTATAGTTTACCTGATAGCAGGCCAGACGTCCACAAATGGGCAAAAAAAATGGTCAAGGGGTTAAGAAAGTGAAAAAAGTCATTAAAAGTCTAATTGTTGAAGTTTACGTAGACGACCTAATTGACAACTGATATTCTTTTTGACAAAAACTGTTTGTGAAACATGGCTTTTTAAGCAATTTCGATTATTCTTTAGGCTCGTTAAATTTAAATCAGTTGATATGATTTTTTATTTGGGTCATAGTGTTTTTTTTTTTTAATATTTTTCAAAAGTTGCCTGAACACCGACAATAAGGTAGATCATCGACTTGGGAATAAAATTTTAGTCCTGGTCCAATAAGATCTTCGCTTATACTCTAGAAACGGCTCTCTGTTGTCTCCCATAACAGATTTCCTGTTTACTTGTGGGAACAAATGACTTTTGTCTACAGCTAGCTGGAGCGCATACCCGTTACGATAAACGGCTAACGGTGGTCATCATTTAAGTGTTGTTCCCTGTATATATGAGTATACGTAGCGCAAAATGAAGAATATTCGCATACTGATATAAAATTATATATACATTACTTACTGTTGCAACTACTGTCTGAGGCTACATGTTGTAGCTGTTGTTGAAGGCTTTTGGGCTTTGTTGGGAGAGGAGGTTTACCGCCCCTCCCTCCCGAGCTTGCTGAGCAGGGGCCGGATCGCGTCCCGCCTGTGTTTTTATCCTCCGACTGTGACTTCTGGAGCACTAGAGAATCCCGCAGGGTCTGGCGTTCCAGAAAATCTTCGGGAGTTGTCCTGCCGGACGTCGGCCTTGAGCTGGAGGCCGAAAATGAACGATCGAGGGACAGTGGCGACGATCGCTTCTGTTCGCTTTCTAATTTAGCAAACATTGCTCGAGCATCCTGTGCATCCAGCAGAAACAAATGATAAAATAGTCATGTGTTTTGCACAATGAAAACAACAACGTCTAGTAGTATATAGATGTTCTTTGGTCCTCTTGCAGCAGAGAGCTTTTCAAAGCTAGACTGTACGTATTGTTCGCCTTCAAAGTTGTGGATAGATAGTTACGGATGCTAATTATTCCTCGTGATAAAAATCGCGAACCAGTCCGCTCTCGTTAATTAATGTTTTACCAATAAAAAGTGGTGGACATTTACAATTAATTGGCACTTTGTGATGGTACCATCATTGGACGGTTCTAAAATTCTTTATACGTAAGTACAGGGCTTATGATATTAGTGTTACATATTATAGCTAGTCAATGAGTGGTTGATGAACATCTAGGTACCTGGAACCTCGAGACGTGGCTGTCGCTCCTATGGAGAGGACTGCCGCCTCCATTGGCCTGAGCGCTAATCCCTCCTCCCCCACTCCCGCTGGTAGATAGCGCATAGCCGTTGAGGGACGTCATGGAAAGTTTGCCAGGCAGTGCTGCAGGAGTACCGCCAGCCTGATGCGAACCACGGCCATAACTCCTTGGGGGCGTCACCTCATCTGAGGCCCCAGAACCTTTGGGGCTTGGAATTATACGATTTTGTAGATTTAGGGGACTGCCACAGGCTGCTAGCGAGTGCTCCAGGACCTTCTCGCTGCTACTACTGCTACGGACCGAAGGTCGGGACTTCTCCGGCGACAACGATTGGCTAGCTTGGCCCTGCAAAGACAGAAGAAATGAGAATGTCAAACGCGCTACCCAATTCAGATTTAACATTTTAAAATTCGAAACAGAAAACTATCGAATTACCATCTAATACAGCAAAAGCTGTGTCATATGTGGATAATTTTTTTCGAAATAGTGTACCTTGGAAACTTATAACAGTAACCGAGTATCGGCGCATTGGTAAAGCCATCCAACTTAAAAATCATATTTAGTTTCTTCTTTCTATATCTAGTAAGCAGTAAAACCATTATGCAGCGAGACCGCTATATTATACTTTGGTTGCCACCCCTTGGAGTTCTTATCGATAGATAGAAATAGATTTACACCAAGATAAGCGTAGATAGTAAAAAAAAAAAAAAAAAACTGCATTTTTATGAAACATAACTTGGCATTATTTACTTCGACGAGACAAAACATCTTTTATTGCTCGGATTTATCATTCGCTCACTCACTAAAAGGCAAATACGTCGCTATTCCATCACAGCTTTCAGGAGACTGTGGTCGCTGATCGCCCAGTTGGTCTGACACAAGCTACAACTTCTACGGTCCGTCTATTGAAAATGGGCATAGCTGCCTAATGACTCTTCTGTGCAGGCGCCATTAATCACAGTTCACTAATAACAACTGATTAACACAACGCCATTACGTACAATAGTTGTGCTCTAGCGTCCAGTATTTATATGGAGCAAAGGTTCAGATTACAGGGTACAGGCTACTGAATGCTGTACACTGTGGGGTGACCCGAACGAACATCCATTTCTAATTGCTTAAGTACTTCGTACTCATCAAGTACCCTCCCCTCTCCCCGCCTCCTCCTCCTCCTCCTCCTCCTCCTCCGATTAGAACCAAATTTCAGCAGTAGACGCGATATCCGATACGATAGGGGCTGAGAGGCATTAAGGGAGCCTCAGTGGTCCACTTTAGCACTTATCGGTTGGAAAGCATCCTCTCTGATTCAGCCTCGGACCAGCACTTGACATAACCATAAGAAAAAGTGGTGTAAAACGTCAATTCCCTCAACATGCATATCTTCCTCCCCGTAAGTCAAAAAAAACGTGGTATCGTACTTATATGTATGAGTTGAACGATTGTTCTTCTATTAAATGAAATTCACTGCTACCATCTGAGCTACTGGCAAAAAGTGGTTTGATTTTTCGTTCTAGAGCAGCTGGCTAGTAATTACGCTCCTTTCCTACCCCAGTTTAGGTTTACTCCACATAGAATCAATATAAATATCCATGCTAAGAGGTGTCACGAACAAACAAATTCATACGATTCGAGTTAAATCGAAATGTTTTAAAGACCAGAGAAAATACAGAATGATGAATAAAACGTTTAGTACTTCCCATAAATTAAAATGTGACCAACAAAGCATAGGCAAGTTGCTGATATCGGCTCTGTTTCTATGTAGACTCTTCATGAAAATCCATTTTATCGTCCAGCTAATACCGATAGCTTAAAGACGTCGGCTCCATCTTTTTGCATAAGTGGAAAGCCCCATTTACTTAGGTATAACAGATAGCAGGTTAGCTTAACGATATACACATATACTCATTTATATAAGCAATTAAGGTACGTGGGCGGCACGGCAGGAAGCCGGCCAGAAAGTACGGTATCTGTACCCTCGAGCAACTTCAACTAAAGCCCAGACTTCGAAAGTAACTTGAACCAATCGCCTTGACCTTCCCCTACCGCTAATATTGTGTTGCAGACGCAGTAGTTTTTTAATATTGCCTGTCGAAGAAGTAATAAAAGTTCACCGAATTCGATTACCAAAGTTTTATGGTATATGGTGACTATCACCATCTTACAGAAAAATATATTTAAATATCTAGCAAATCTATGCTGTGTTCTATGTTTTCACCTATCATAAAAATATATATAGAACGTTAAAATAAATATTTTGCAATACGTTTTCACATCAAGCGCATTCAACCTGATAAACACAGATGATCATGCATTCCGGTAACAACAGTTTTACATGAAAACCATAAATCAATTGTGTCTGACTAACTGTAACATTCAATGAAACATCTTTATAATGTGTTACTATATCTATTTGCTTTCAAAAGTCATTTCGAACGTTAATAAAATATACTAGAAGCTCGAATGTAGCCTCCTAGAACCAGCCAATTGTATAATCAGGTCACTCCGAAAATCAATGTTTGCTGCATAGCTCCTTTACAAAACATCCCACTTATATTCCACTGTCTCATTACTGATGTGGCCTATCATAGAGTTTACTGGGGCTAGACAATTGATGGTGCATCTGAGATTGATTTCCAAAGGTCAGCCAAAATAGACGCCTCCGTCTCTGAGGCAGTAAGTAAATCCACAGTTACCCATAAGCGTCCCATCTATCCGATAGAAATAGTTTCAATAGCACAACGGCAGCTATAAAAAATGGTTTTGTCATTAAAAACGCTATGGTCTACAATCTAACTCCATTACTCATGTAGTTATTAGGCTCGGAGATAAGTATTCGTATAATCGTCATTGTCCCATTTCGATTCCAGCGGTATTCTTTGCCTAAATAAAACCGACGAAGCTGCAGCGTACTTCCTTCGATTTTTTCCCTATGAGATCTTTCATGACTTTTAGAATGACCAAGCCTCAAAAGACGATTTCAAGTATGTAGATACGAAAAACTGACCGTGCATCATATCCCCATACATTCCCCATTTGTGCATTTTTCGTTGGTGTGTAACGTTCCGACGCTTTTCTAGTTAGTGGTACTGATAACCATAGCGAGCTTTGTCTTCAAATGTGCAAATACAAGATGCATCAATTCAAGATGTTCTGTGTTCCGGATTTTAAGATTCCGAATCCGCACCATTGGCCTTTAGCAACTCGATGGATAATGGTAATGAACAATGACCAGTAAGGAAGAGCAGTTATGAGAAAAAAATAAAAAAAACGAAAATAAACATTATAGAATAATTGGAATGTGGCAGATATATCTTGAATATACCGTGGTCACTACTGTTTTTTTATGAAAATTATTAGTGTTTTTCACGTGCCGAACATATTGGGAGTTTGATTCTTGTTGTCACTATAAATACTTGGTGTTACCCCCATAGAATATCGGTCTGTCGCTGACTATTTAATGTTTAATAAACATTCATTCTTTTATCGTAGATATAAACACGCACACACACACACATACGTGCGTACATACGCGCAGACACACATTTCTTAATTAAGGTGACCACTCGATATAAGAAAGACAGCATGCTAGAAGCGATCAAAGGCAAAACGCCATAGATGGTCATAAAACTAGCGGATGATATTTAAAAAGACAAACAATGATGATGTCAACAGGAGCGAATATCAAGTTGTCATACAGTCATGCGCAGGTAATTTTTCTCGTTTTCTTGCTGAAAACGCGCTAATATCTCTATGCAGGACGCGTTACTGTGAAGCAGTGCTGATACGGTCCGACTGTTGCGACGGGGCTCAAAAGACACGAAGCAACCACTTAATAATAATATTAATAACAATAATTATATAATTATGTCGCAATGTACGCGCCAGATGTACTGAATAGACTTAGGTTTTTGCCGAGTTACAAACACTAACATCCACAAACCATGCTCGCTTTACTCGGAATGTAACGCTCCGCAAGAGAAACAAACCATCGCAGCACTCGATTGACGTTAAGCGACAATGAATTGGCAGGAAATAAAGAAACACACCCGTTGCAATACCGTGAAAATCTATATTCAGTCAATTGGTAAAATATTACCCAGTATACCTCCGAGCGAAACTTTAGCAGCCCACAAAAATTTGGGCCAAAGCCACCGTTATGTGCAAAATTTCTATGGGGGACAAATCAATAGAAAGATCCCGATTTTCAATAGTGATGGTAATATCATATAATGTGTAATGTGGCAAAAGACGCATATGTATATAATATTGATATATAGGCACTGACAGAACGTGTTCACTAACGTACATTCACTACCGGAATGTCCATGGTTTTTCTTTCTGTCAAAGCGATGCCTATGAGAAGCCTTGGTAAACGTCGTTGATCCTCGTTGAAATTTTGGTAACAAAATGCAATTAGTCGATAAACGCATTAAAAGTAGCCGTTACGTTTTAGCTCTCTCTTGTCGTCTGTACAAAACAAATCAATTTTGCCGAGATTAGTTGTTTAGCAAAATTGTATGGAGGACTATATGCGTATGTTGACCTAATCGTTCGAATCCGTATTTTTTTGTTACAAACTGATATTCAATCATTGAATACACTTTCGCTCACCCAACAGCTGAATAACTACCGTTGCTGCCGCAATTAGATACAGATGGGCTAAATGAGCCTCGTACGAATGCAGGTGTTTTTGCTTTCCAGACTCCACTTGCACGTCTGGTTTAGACTGGAATTGTCTACCTAAATGAAGCGGCTATGAAGTAGATCTGGATACGAAATGTCGACAATCAACTAAACAGGAACCAGCCAAAATGACTGTTAGTGAATTAATAAAATAGCAACATATTTACGGGTAACTTCACAGCTATTTGCTCGCCTGCTTGTTACTCCTATATCCAGTTACCGCTGCTGTTAAAACCCGTACTGCGGCTGGCCAATCAGTTATCAGAGGCAATAGCACCAGCTGACATACTCTACATAACAGTTATTTCTCTGTAACAATCGTCATATACTTAAGTATACATATACTATAATAATATTCGATGAGATTCGAGCAAGCGCTTGCCTTGAAAGTGGATTGACGCCTACCTCTGGGCTCTTGGCCGGTAATCACATCGCCAGTAACATGTGACGAACTCGTAATAGTAGCAGCTGCGTTTCCGTCTATCCCCGTTTGCCGGTCGAGTGACAAGTTGACAGTAATATGTAATAAAAAAAGTTTTACACCTTTTGCCTTCATAATGTTAGCGTTATTATCATCAGCATCGTAAACGCATAAAATAGCAACAACGGAGATCACAGCAGCAGCGGTGGCGGCGGCGGCGCGGCGAGCGCCGCCGCTGCCC